GATGCAAAGAACAGCCTAAAAACCTGCAAACGCCCCAGCGGGCTTGTGTTCTTTTGAAAAGAGCGAGCCAACCTCATCCTCAGCCTCACACATAATGGATCGCTTATAAGTTTAAACATGGAAATAGAGCCCCCATGAAGACAACTACCAACATACTCAAGTCATTTTCTAAATGTTTGATGGTCTGCTAATACTAATAAACGTGCTTCATTTTATAAGATTTATCGTATATTTTTTCTGCATGTCACTTGACACTTGAATGTTTGTCACGCCAGGCATGCTCACGTTTTTCTATTGAATTACAAATTACGTAAAACTAGTTGTTTCCAGTCTCAATGTAGGTATTTTGAATCGGTTTTATCCTGTACCTGTTTTCCGCAACGCAAGATTATCTTAACTCAGAAGTTGTTTAAAAAACACATACGTTTTCGTATAAAAGCATTAAATAGTTGATTAAATTGTCATTGAAATAGTAGTATTATTTGCCTTGAATATATTTATTTTACGACAAAAGCAATGAAAAGTTTTCTTTGATGTTTTTGTTCCAACATTTCTTTTAATTTAAAACCTTTTTTCTATCTTCGAATAGGGGAGTTTACCTTTGTCCTTTATACCCTCGTCTATATCGTGATTACCTCCTCACACTCGTTGTTGGTGAATGAAGACAAGGACAATTCGTTCTGTTGATATTACATATTATACTTTGTTTCAATTTTAAACATAATTGTAGCTCCGTTTTCAAGCGAATCTGGACTAAACTAAATGTTTGGTTAATTAAATTAGACCCAAACGAGTTGTGGCTCAAACCGCCGAAGTAAGCATAATTCACATAAGCTGTGTCGTTACGACTACTTATATTTGACTAACGACATCCTGACATCTCGAGTTGAATTACAAAAGGAACTCTTTCGTTTACAAATTAAAGATGATAATAGCCTACGCTAGGTAACGATAGGCAAATTTCTTTTTGCATAGGCGTTCGGAGTCAAGCTATTTTACTCTTAATTGTGTAGTTTTATAAGTCGATTTTCTTCTGTGCAGAAAACATTACAATTTATTCTTTGACTAAAGCAAATCTGTCAAAAGCTGAATAACTAGTTTTATATATAGCCTTCCTTTTCTTTCACGTGTCTGCTTTTTCACGGTCATGTGAAGGTCGAAGTTTGACGTAAAGTAATTATATAGACAGTCTGCTTCATCAAGTGACAAAATCACGTCACACATTAACCGTCTTTAACAAAGATAATTTGTAAAACAAACTTGTATACAATATCCTGTAGCTGTGTGTGAGCGAGACTCGTCAGAAGGAAGTCTTTCGATATTACAAAAAGCACGCATAGTAAAGGTCCTATGGTTTGGACCAATATGAAAATTAAAATAAATTGATATATACCCTAATACAACGTTACGTAGAATACTATGAAAACATTTGGCAAAATATCAATGTGTAAACAGAACTGTTCACTTATTATATCATTCCATTAAGTTTTTATTACCAACTAAATAATTGTCTAGCAATTACTCAGATTTTTACTGGCCAGCAAATTAAAAAAAAAACACAAGGTTTCCTAAATGTCAAATTGCAGTATTCCTTTTCTGGTTATATTGACCTACTACTAAACTGTTACCAACTTAAAAAATCATCGTTTGCAAAATATTCAGTGTTGCCACAAGTAAAATTAAAAAGTTAGTACTCTTGGCGCGGTACATTGTTTCCAATGTCTCGTTATTTTAGTACTTTGGCCCAATATTGGTATTCGTAAAACGGTCATAATCATAACACTAGCAATTTTCTCGTTAGTCCAGCACTTAAATGGTCTCATTATAGCGGCATATATAGCCAAGGACGTTTGAAAAACTAGCTTCTAAAATACCGGCACACCTGTTTATGTATGTAGTGACTCACGTACGTATACCATATATATGAACACACATACACATGAATATACAACACAATACATGCTTAATTTCAAGAAGTGTTGAATAAATAGACATTTGGGTGTCTTCATTTACTGCCTTGGTTAGTTAGAAAATAAAAATAAGAATAAAATCTGATAATTATTTGTTTGTTTTTTTATTGACAACTTAGTTGGCAACCGAGTTGGTATAGTATGATGGGAATTGGTTACTGGAGTCCAAACGCACTTGCAATATTAGTGTATGTCACAACTGTCGTTGAGCGGGGGGGACTCCAAGGGCAGCAACGCACTTGTGTTGCACTTTTGAGTTGCAGGTGTCCATGGGCGGCGGTAGTTGCTTACCGTCTACTCGTTTATACTATACAAAACAAATATCCATGTGATTATTATTATTTCGGGTCAGAGTACCATGTAATTTTTTTTTCACCCTCCCCTTCCTGACGCCTACCGTATTTGTGTTGGTAATCGTTGGCAAATGTCACAAAGAAGAAGAGGAAGCACCACCAGGTAATTGTCGGATAAGAAACGGTACCTACTGAGAATGCGACTCGAACGCGTCTGGTTACGAGGATATGTGAACTAGCCATAATATAAGTACACTACATGGATGTACTCCAAAAACATAAATTTGTTTTATTTTTGGTCTTCTTAATCAATCACACAGCTGTTATTCGCCACGAAAGCATACATTAGACGCATCACGCGAGACAAAGGCAAACAGATCAATATGATAATCCATTTTAAAAAAAGCCACTTCTCATAGGATCGTATAGTGTTCGTTAGAATTTAAATTTTAAAAAAAATTGTGGCGTTAAGAAAGGTTCCTGTCACTTTTGACAACTTCACCAAAAATAATATACCTATACGTACACGAGAAATAGTATTTTCGAAATTACAATTATTTTTTCAACGTTTGTAAATTTGACTAATTATTATTTATTCGTAATACACTTCTTAATAATTTCTGTATTTACTTTTTACTTTTTTACCATATATGTAAGTTGGTAGGTCAAATATAATGACCTTGACTATTGCGCACATTATTATTAAAGTATTATGAATGTCTTTGTATTATTATTAAACCTCCTTTCTAAGGAGAGGCCTATGTCCAGCAGTGGACTATTAAAGGCTGTTGATGATGATGATGATTATGAATGAATAAACAACGTTTTACAATAACATTTCTTTAAGTTGTTATGCATAGACTATGATATGTTAATTTCATTTTTGCAGAGTTGTTTTGTTGCCGTAGCTCTTTGTAATCCTTCGTAATCTCTTGTAATCTTAAATAATTTAACACTTACTATGTCTGGCATAGGTAATAAGTTATAATAGGAAGCCAATTTAAATTGTTATAGAAGAAGTCTAATTACAATGACTCTTATAGAAATGTTTAAACCCAAACAAATGCAGAATAGCAGTTTATTTTTTGTTCGGTATCTCGCGGGCACACTGGTACAGTTGTAAAATTTAATTAAGAAACTTCATATGCTAAAAATATTAACGGATTATTTATATATTTAAACCTGAAAAATATAATAGAAAAAGACGACCTCGGAGACTTTTTTGTGTGGCTTTTTTACGACGAGTCTTTGTGGTTTATTCAAATTAGACTTGTTTTATTCAGTAACTGCACTAAACTCCTTTTTCTGTAAATGGTACCAACTAAATTACTTATATTATTAATAATAATAATTTAAAAACTTCACACATCTCACACACAGCAGTTTGATTCCAAACTCAATACTCAATACTTTATTAATATTTCTAAATACTTACATCTAATCTAATATATTAAATTCTCATGTCCATTCTAATATATAAAATTGACCGATTTTTATGAAATTATGTGTGCATATCGGGTAGGTCTAAGCATCGGCCAACATCTATTTATCACACGTACATATAATGATAAGGGTGACCCACCCCATTTTTTTTTGTTTTTGACAAAAAGAATATTTTATTTTATCATGATTTAGCATTGAAAAATACATACAACAATAATGTAAATGGCAAAACAACGTTTGCCGGTTCAGCTAGTATTATATAAAAAAATATACCCAGGCACAGAACAAATTAACGTCCTCATCACACAATCATCTGTCCTGGGTGGTAATCGAACCCACGACCCCTGCCTTAGCAGTCAGGGTCATTAACCACTAGTCCAACAGGCCCAACGAATATATTAACACTTAGGAATTCATAACAAAATCGGAATTCATTGTCAAATCGGTATGTAAATGACTGGGAAACTCCAATATGAGTCATAATTGAAACGTTGTACTGTAAACGGTTGTACTTGAAGTTGTATAAAGAGCGTGAGAACCGTATAACATTTATACGAAATTCAACTTCAATTCATAAAAATAGAGCACATTAGTTTATTATTTACTAAATTTTCCACCCTTGGGTATTTCGGCAATAGACTCGCCTTACATGAGTGAAATTATACTACTATAGTTGGCAAAATTGCGGTCGTTTAATACAACAGAGCGTAAATATATTTAGGCTCTATCGTTACCGGCTGGTATTAATGTATGTATGTTGCTACTGAGCGCTGGCCTTGTCAGCTTGAACTTGACAGTCACTATGTCAGCGGCTATAACCGGAGGAATGTATGTCTGACGATGTTTGTGATCGAGAGATGGTCGATTTTATGAGTTTATTGTTTTATACTCTGTGGTTTAGAAAATCGTTGTCTATTGCTTTGTTTTACCGCGTTTATTAAATATAAAATTATGTGGTGTAATGTGATGGTTTATTGTATTAGGTAAATATACTTTTAAATGTGTTCGATGAATTTTTTATTACAAATGTTTTGTTTTTTATAACCCGACTTTATTTGAAGCTACCGTAGATCGATGTAATTCTGCAATATTATAGTATTTTTTGTAGATTTCTTGTAAATGATTTTCTTGTATCTTTTCAGTCCTATATTGCTATTTGAAAAGGTATATTAATTGTATATTCGCTTAAATATACTCAAAGAAAATTGCCATAAAACCTATGTCACTCCCACATATTACATTTAACATCGCCTCGGCAGTCGGGTAAAATTGTGATAAAGGTATGTTTTTCCAGTTGATGAAGACGCTGCGCCAGGTCGTAGGAAAACGTCTCTTTGAGCTGATAATGAAGGCGACTTTCTACGGACAATTCGTCGCTGGCGAAAGTCCCGAACAAATCAGATCAACTGTGGAAAGGTAATAATTTTTTTTTTTTTATCAGTAATTTAATAAATACCAATAAAATTAAGGAGTGTGTGGTAAGAGCCAACTAAGGGAGCAACCTGAGCAGTACAACAGCACTGCAAAGAGAAGGAAAACTTGACACAAACCCTATACCAACCCGTCTGGCCAGCGAGGTATTGTAGGCCAAAATCTCCTTTCTAAGGAGAGGCCTATGTCCAGCAGTGGACCCTGAAACTCCTTGGAAACCGGTGGTTGTAGATCGGCACAGGCATATCATAGATTTTGCATATTTTTATTATTTTGTATATTTATTTTCTATTAAAGTTATTTGCCTTACTATTTGACAAAGCAGAGTTTATTACTATTGTGTGTGTTGATCTATTACTTTGAGTCTATGTAAAAGACGATTTCAATCAATTTTTATTTTTTTATGAAATAAAAGTTTGAAAAGCTGTTGGTGATGTTTGATGACGAGCATCTAATTACAAAATCGAAACTTATCTTTCATTTCTATTATTTTTTTCAATAAAATCGTTCGGAAGGAAGTTTCTCTAAGCCTTCGCCATTGAGTAGGTAATTAGTTTTTGTTGATATTTGAAAATTAAAATTTAACTTAACGTCAAAAGGAGATTTTGCAATTAAAAATTGTGTTCCTGGTTTGTCAGAGACTTCATTGACAGAAAATAGGTGGGTACCAGGCCTGTATTGCTGTGTGTATTTGACTGCACGGATGGCGTAGTGGTTTAAGTGATCGATGTCGGTCCCCGCCGCTTACTACGCTGAGTGTTGTGGATCCGATCCCCACATGGAACGACACTTTGTGTGATCAACAAATTGTTGTTCTGAGTTTGGGTGTTCTTTGTGTCCGTTTCATGTATGTTTGTAAGGTCCCCCGCGGCACAGGATATATTCCTAATGCGGGAGTTCTGTTTTAAAAATAATAATAATTATAATCGAAGTCATATTTAGTGCCATACTTCTTCTTTGTCTACAACATGAAATGAACTTACAGCTGTCTTATTTTCATAAATATCATGCTACAACTGCAAAATAATACTTACCAGCCGTTGCCCCCGACTTTATCTAAGTATGAGAATACAAATTCTAAAATCCTAACCTTTGGAAGTGATTATTTTATTATAAGCTCACACATCTCACACGCAACCCAAACTAGGCAGAACCTGTACCATTGTAACTAGACTGCTGATAAACATACTTATATATTTCTAAATACATACATATTATAGATAAATTACATCCAGACACAGAACAAAGGGTTATCACACAATTATCGAACCCACGACCTCTGGCTTAGCAATCAGGTCCACTAACCGCTAGGCCAACAGGCCATTTTCATAGGCCAGGCTAGGCCAAGTTTTCCATCCGCGAGGGGGCGGCGTCCGCATGTGCCGGACGTCGCCTAAAGAGAGGAAACATTTTGAGACGGAGCCCGCAACAGGAGCGGACCGGCGCTGGGAGGGGTCCAGAAGGCGATAACTACCTGGACCCCTCCTAAACTGGTAGCGCAAAGAGGGCACACCGTGTGGTTTTAGTCGGTTCGAGTCCGACACACCGCCCCGCCGAACGAGAGCCCCGGCGGGGTGACGGTCCGAGGGGATTTCCACACGTTAAAAAAAAAAGGCCAAGTTTTCCATAGGAACTTTTATCTTATATTTTACCCGTTTCAAGATTCTTTTTCAACGAGAAAAGTACTATAGGATCTCTTAAGTTGGCCAGGCCAAGTGTTGGCGGCGATAGTCACTTATCATCAGATGACCCGCCAGGCAGTTTGCTCCCTAAGTCCTACTCATAACAAAAACATAGTGAGATCCGGCTCCTAAGTCCGGTCTGTCGCTAAGCCAAAAAGACAGGCAAATGTGTTTTAGCATTGTAACATAACTATAGGTAATATTAATCACTGTTTTTTTAATTACAGGTTACGATCATTCGGTGTAAAGTCGATCCTTGATTACTCCGTAGAAGAAGATTTATCACATGAAGAGGCTGAAAAGCGTGAAGTCAGGTACGAGTTGAATCTAAACTATCTTCAGAGCATTATTCATTTTCTTGTCCGTTAAGGCGGGATCATACAATGAGCATACCTCTGGGTTTGAAACAAGATGAAATTTCTTTACATAATGTTTAGGTATTTACACTTTTAAATGACATGATCATTAATATGACATTGATTACGAAGTACATTGTAATTTAAAATCAAAGTAAAGAAAATTATATCGTGTAGTAATAAATATAAAAAGGTATTTCTGGAAAAAGAAATGGGAAAACAGAGTTATGCTCTAGAGCTCAAATTAAAGAATTCCAATTCTGTCTTAAGCCATAAGTGATACGTGTAATTGCCCAGTCTCTACAGGCACTGGGAAATCCCACGAATTACTTATGACTTAGACAGAGTTCGGATTTTGTTATAACATGTTATAACAACAACAATGTTATAATATAAAAAAAATTGCAATAAAGTATTTTGATATTTTATGAACTAAATAACCAAATTAACGAGTGAATGAATTCGGTTCGGCATTAAAAACACATGAAAAAGGAATATCGAAAGTAATCATCACGCACTAAAAATTTACTTACGTGGTAATATTTAGAACTTGTGTTTACAGAGATCTAACGATTAGTGGTATTTTTTTATGTGGCAGCAAAGAAAAAAAAACATTATGTAAGGAGTTTCCCGTGGCCTAGGTATATGCCTCGTGCAGGATCTCAATGTTGAGATCCTGCACTTTTTTACACTCAAGTTCTATTGTTGTTGCAACAGGTCTTTAACCATCTTTCACATTCAAATTCACTAGAGTACACACGTTACGTTACGTACATACGTTACACATAACGTTGGTTTTCCTTAGGAAACTAGGGTACTGCAAAATTCACAAAAATTTTCATTTTAGTTAATGGCTCCCTTTTCTACTGGCCAGTTATTTGATATTTTGTACATTTTTTACAAAAAAATATTATTTATTTATTTTATTAGATTATTTTATACAAAAAAGTAGTAAGTAGACTTAAAACATTTTTTAACAACCTTGTAGTTAGAATAATTGAGTGCACTTTACCTGTAACAGTAATACAGGAAACGCATTGCGGAATCATATATATATTTATATATATATATATATATACAAACAGGGTTACTGTGTGTTTAAGACGACCTAGATACTTTAAGGGGTTGTAGTTGCCATCATTTCTGAGAGATTTCGCTATGAAATAACATATCGCAAACCTAAATATTTTCAAGACATTGGATTTTTTATAAATTGCCGAAAGGAGGCTGACCGATTTGGGCCAAGGTGCGAACAGCAGTTTTATAAATAAATGAAAATGGTCATAATTTTCTTTTATTATAAAATAATTATGAGTACAATTTGGTAGTATCAAGTGAGCATATATAAAAAAAGTATTTCAAAATATTTATCATTATTTATGACGTACATCCGTTCATTTTGTGAGCGAAACGTGTCGTAAGTGTTGCATACAAAAAATAAGTAGTGGAAAAAGTGATTCAAAAAAACACAGTAATAAATAATAGTCTTAATTACAAAGTACTTTGAAGTCTGTAATACCTACTAGATATAATTATTTCTATTTTATATATATATATATATATATATATATATATATATATAAGCTAAATCCTTTTAAGACTAAATATATGTCTAAAAATAAATTGTGATGAAGAACATTAAACAGCACATGGCTATAATTTTTTCTTCATTGGCTTAGGCGCGCACGGTATTACTATTTGTTATTTGTTTATTTTTGGATATTCTATTCAAAATGGATTTAAATAATTCTTCTCACGACAACATATGTTAGCATGTGGAACATATCAAATAAAACAGGCTAGATCATATTTTGAAGAACACATAAGAAGTGATGGTTCATATACAGTCGAAGTTTGTATAGAAAGAGCCAGCAACCTTTTGCCAAGTCTTCCTTCAGCCGACAATTGCACATTATTAAGGCCCAAAATACAAAGCAGACACATAAGTAGGAAAACATATTTTATTTATATATTATTTGACAGTAATATAGAGAATTTAAATGCAATTAAAGATTATCACTTTGACTGCATTGTTGGTCGAAGAACTGTGGGTTGTTGCTCTCACATTATGTCCGTAATCTGGTATCTAAGTGGGGCAAGGTATGAGAATGTTACTCCTCCAGCTCAGTTTCTGGATAATATTTTGATTGTGTATGAAAGTGATGGTGACGACAATTGAAATTAAATGTTTGCAAAAATCAATAAAATTTTTTACAGGCCTGGATACTAAATTAATTATATTATTGGTTTCTACATAGCTTCAGCTACTACATAGTAACGTTTTTATTTCAATATAAAAATGTCCACCCCTTGGCCCAAGTCCCAATACAAAGCTGTCAGTGTCCTTTGCCTAATACATTTTTTTTGGAACTTAAATTCTTTTTTTTTACTGTTTTTGTGTAGTTATTAGAAATCATCTACTTCAGACCAGTTTGTTAACTACAATTTTTATAATGGAAATGATAAAGCAATGCATCAATTAAATAAAACAGTAAAAAAGAAAAAAAAACTGTGTTAGGCAAAATTTCGATAATTTAAAAAAATCTTAATAGTCCAATATCTTGAAAAAGGTTAGGTTTGGGCAATGCTATTTCACAGTGAAATTTATCAAAAAGAATGGCTACTACAACCCGCTAAAGTGTCTAGGTCGACTTAACCACTAACCCTGTATATACGGATATATAATATATAGATATTGTTTGAGGTTTCTTCCTCGTTTCCTTTCGACATTCTTCCTTTACAGAACACAAAGATCTTGAAAATAAACTTTTTCTTTCTTCGAATAAACAGTTAATAGCTAAATCCTTGCAGTTTAGGTAATACGTGCTTGAAATAACCACTTAAAATATATTTTTTTAAATTCTTGAAGTGAATTATAAGAGTATTTATTGAAATAATTAAAAAAAAAACAAGTATTTGTGTTCATAATATACTGTAAATGTAATACTTTTATAAATTTATATTTTGTTTTGCCTCGAATTTGTACAATATTATATTACATATTTTCAGACAATTAATTTGCAAATAGTCATATTTTGAGTAATTAGCAGCGACGAATTATCAATAGAATAGGCTTATGACTGTATCCAAAACATGGTATATTCAACTTATTATAGTGTTAAGGTAGGTACGATAGGTCATATGTATATGTTTGTATGTATGTGACTTCAAGACAATGTCTTCGACCTCTACCTTAACACTAGAATGTGATATACACACAAACGTATTGTCTACGACTAAGTCAGCCACAAAGTAAACGTATCTAATCCGTACTAACGTGAATAGTTCCATAGTTTATAATTGTTTGACAGACAATAAGGAACTTAAGCATAACTTATACAAGTGACAAAATAGATATGGACACGTTCCAAAAATGAAAAATGATACTCATTTGGACCATAAACAACATATATATATATATACTTATAACGAACTGGTATGAATCTCAAGGAAGCCGAGTTTAATTATTTTTTTATTAGAATTGGGTGGAGACAACTGTCTGGCTGGGATGTTGGGATGAGACTGAGGACGACTCAACGAGTCCCTAGGCTATTGAGAAAGAAATTTTGAGTGTGCAGGGGTTTTCAGGTGTCATTAATTATATTCTAAACGCTCGGAAGCCCGCTTCTTCCCCGAGATAGGGCTTTACTAGGCGCGGCGTCGATCTGGGCGGGACCTTAAATAACATGGTCGGGGTCCTCCTCGGAGTAGGGCGCCTGAGTAAGGCCGTCTGGGTGGTGTTTAGTGGAAACACCACCTACTCCTGGCTCCTACATCCTTAAGGAGCCTCAAACTTTTAAGTTAACGTAAGAAAAAGATGCGGCCGTTTATGTCGCAAAAAAACGTATACTTCGACACTCAAGTAATCAAAATTTATAGAGTACTTACCGTTGACCCAGAACTATGATATTTGGCAAGTACTACAAGTCCAGGGAAAAATCTGAAAACCATACATTTGTAATTCAATAAAGAATAGTATTTTAAAAAATACATAATCAATCATCGAGGTATAACTTCACTCATATAACACAATAAGTAATTATAGGTTTTTGAAACTGAATTTCGGAAAAAAAGCTCGGAAAAAACCGCGAGACTCAATTCCTGAACTATTTATAATATTTACTTACAAATTTGTACGAAACCCTCGGTGGATAAATCTGGCTCGCACTTGTCCGGATATATAAATTCTTAAAAAAAAAAAAATGCAGTGACTTTGAAAACAGTACAACAATAGTATCGTTACATGTCCATATGTCATGCACGGTGTGACATTAAAGAACAATAGTCAATCCGTCACCCAAACGAGCGATAGGGTGCGATTGTTTGAGGTTTAAATGTTTTAGATTGCAAGATATAAAATATTCTTCTGTAGTTATGCATTTTATTGCTGAACAGGAGACATTATGTTAATTGGTTTAGTATTTTCCTAAGAAAATAACACAAAAAATTACTGACTGGACTGATTCATCAATGCAGAGCCTAAACCGAAAAAGTTGTAAGTGCAAAGGGGATAATATAACGCATGAACGGTTGCACGGAATTTAGTAATTTTCAAAGTTAGAAACAAAAATAAACAATAATCATACGAGCAGAGCTGCGGGCAGTAGCCATTGTCTTATAAATATCTTCATACGTCTGATAAAGTTAAATTGTTGAAGGCAATTTAATTAGAAACACGTGTACACTAAGTCAGCAAAAATAAAATACATGAAATAAGACCGCAATCAAAGTCGAAAAGTTAGCATAAACTTTATCGGAAAGGATTTCATTTCTGTTAGATTTAATCTTTTTACCCCGACCAGTCTACCGTGAGACGGGACTCCACTGTGGTGGTCGTAAAAGCAAGCAAACTTTTCCTCTTCTCATGGGGAGATTTTCAACCTCGTCGTACAAAAAACAAGAAAAAATGCTCTTTTTACCCCTCATTGTTTGATTTTTAGTCGCTTAGATTTTTTACC